AGTTTCAGATTGTATAATTTCTCTTTACATATCTTCAAGTTCTCTAATTCCTTCTTTAACTGTATCAGGTCTACTGATGAGACCATTAAGAAACTTCTTCATATATTAGTGTTTTTAATTTCTAGTACTTCCATGTGATTCTTTGTTAAATTTTCCACCTCATGTGCTGAAATTTTCATTTCATGTGTTGAAATTATCCATCCAATCATGCATCTTTTGTGCCTTTTCCACTAGAGACTTTAACATCTTAATTAGTTTTCTAAGATTCCCTTGTTGATATCATCTAAGTCTGTTTCATTTCTGAGTCTAGTTTCAGTGATTGCTCTAGCTCTTGAAAATATGTTTTATTATTTTCTTTCTTATTTATTTGAATGACCCATAACTTTTTCTTTATGACAGTAAAAACTGAGATATGTGATTTTATCATTAATAATGTGTATACCTTTGTTTTTGCTAGGAGTTTCAGAGAGGAGTCATGTTGATTTCGTCATTTGAGTTAGAAGTTAGGCTCAGCATGAGATTTGTTGTTGACATAATTACCTTTCTTCCACTACAGGATTCAGACTTCAGAGGTACCTGGTGTTTAGGGTGGAGGATTGTTTTCCAGATGACTTTTCTTAAGATATACTCCACTATCAGGTTTAGGTCTTCCTTTTGCCCTGAGGCCCTGAGGTGATCTCTTCCCATACTCTTTTCATAGCAGTAAACTGCTCCTGACGAGGGAGAAGGATGGATGGTGTTCCTTTTTATTCTGGTTGAGACTCATTCCTAGGTGGCCACCCTGTCCTTAAATACTTTGGTGGTTTTTATCACTTAGATCTGAAATGTTCCCTAAAGGCTCATATATTGTAGCTTGATCTCCATGCAGCAATATCCAGAGGAGCCACTTCTGGAAAATAATTGGATCAGGAGGGCTCTAACATCATCAATTGATTAATCCATTGAAGAAATACAAATTTGATGGTATTAGTGGCAGGTTGTCAAAACTGTGGGAGGTGGGGGCCTAGATGGAAGAAGTGGGTCACTGGGGGCATACCCTATAAGAGTATTTCCTGTCCTTGATCCTTTCCTTAGTCTTTCTTTCTCTCTGCTTCTTGTCTGCCATGAGGCAAATAACTTTCCTCTGCTATGATGTTCTGCCTCACTTCAAGCCCGAAGCAATGGATCTGGCTTACCTTGGACTGAAACCATAAGCCAAAGTAAATGTTTCCTCCTCTAAGTAGTTTTCCTCAGGTATTTTGTCTCAGCAATGAAAAGATGACTGACACAGTGGTAGTCCATTCTCCACAACCCTGCCCTTCCCTAAGCTATAGAAGACCCAGTTGGTCTGGGCCTAGGATATATTTCTGCTTTCTCCCAGAAAGAGAGTCCTTTTCTATTTTCTTCCTATTGCTAGAGTGAGTCTTCACCATTTTTTAAGGCTATAACTGTTTGCTGCTCTTTCCCTGTGGATTTAGATTAATGTTCTAAATAAAGGTAGGGTAGGAGATGCAGGTAGGTACAGGTAGGGCTTCATGACTTTCCTGTATTGCCTGTTGTCCTTTTTGAAGCCTGAGGGCTCATATATTATGGCTTGATCCCCACAGCAATATGCAGGGAGTCTTTTTAGGACTCTCATCCTGTCTCTAATCATCCTTATGAGTATTTGATGGTTTGTTGAGAAAAGCTAGTGATATAAATTCTCATATGTCTGTGGCTTTCAGGGCTTCAAGAATCTCATTCTAGCCCACAATAACCTTTAAAAATTTACTAACCTTTTAAAAAATTTAGCTCAGTTCTTATTAACAGCTACTATGGTTTCTGGTGGCACCTGTCCTACATAAACATGTGCTCATATCCTGGCTCATCTTGAAGTCATCTTTCTTTTGAATCAAGCTTAGTTTTCTGTTCTCTCATTAAAAAAAGTTGTGAACTTTGCATATTGTTTAATATTTTTTTAGTACTTCAAGGAGTGCATTTTTCCCCTATTTTCTCCATCCCAAGTGGAAGCCAAATGCCTTTCAGAGATTCTTTTTTAATTTCCAAGTAAATATGACATATATTATGGTGCAGAACTTGATGTCTTGACATACAATACACAATCAAGGTAATTAACATATCCATCAATTCATATAGCGAATTTTTTTCTTTTGTTCTTTTTTCTCCTTTTGTTCTTCCTTTTCTTTCTTTCTTTCTTCGTGGTGACAAGAGCACTGAAGGTCTACCTTCAGCAGTCTGCACAGCCCTCTTTTTGACAGAATCACAGACGCTCAATGAGAGTTTCCATGGAACTTTCCTTCTGTCATCTCTGAAGTTTACTTCAAGAAACACACTTTTGAGTATCCAGGATTCCCAGATCTTGCTTTCAGGCAACTCATATCCTACTAGGAACATTGAATGAACCAACAAATAATTCTTGGACAGCAAGTAAGTGCTAGAATATCGATTACCTATGTTAGCAAATAAGAAGTGTCAATGGATCGTATCCTGGGTAAGCGACAAAGACTTCCTCTGGGAGACGGCACCTGCCAAAGTCCTTAAAACAAAAATATTTTCCCTTTATACAAAGTTGAGTAGGGCCTCCTAAGAAGACACAGCATATTCTGAGTAGTAGAATTAGCCAAATTTCTGTGTGAACAAACTTGAATAGGGAGAATAGTGTTACTCCCCATTCACAGACTCTGTTGTTACTAATTTGGTGTGAGGACATTCAAGCTTTTCCCCCCTAGAATATATATTTATACAGTATATTCTAAAATATTTGATAACTGCTTAACAACCCAATAATGCCAAAAAATTCACTTTATTTTTATTTATCTGCATTTGTATTTATTTATTTATTTATTTTCATTCATTCATTCATTCATTTATTTTTGGTACTGGGATTGAATCCAGGGTCACTCTTCCACTGTGCTACATCCTTAGCCCTTTTTTATTTTTCATTTTGAGACAGAATCTTGCTAAGTTGCTGAGGCTGGCATTGAACTTAGGATCCTCATGGCTCAGCCTCTTGAATAGCTGGAATTACAGGTGTGCCCACCGTGCCTGGACTACTATTAGGCTTTTTGGTACGTGCTTTTTTGGATACATGCTATCAAAATGCTTTCCAAACTGGAAAATTTGCTTTCCCAGTAGTATAGTGCCCATCTTCTCAGATCCTCACAAGCATTATGAAGTCACATTTTTAAAACTTGACTACTCTGATAGATTGAAAACTGGCATTTCATTAACTTCAAAGATGCATTAATTTGAATATGAGTAATCTGACAATTTGAAACACTTATATTCCCCTTTTCCTTTCGTTTTTATGAATTCTTTTATACCCACTGGTGATGGAACATCACATTTTTGGCTTCTCTTTGAGAATTGTAAGATAGGGGAATATACTTACTGGCTGTCTATACTGCAAAATCTGTCCGCTAAAACCTAGAACAGGGGTATTCAAATCTGATTGTTCAAAACTGTTTTGGGAGCTTTGTAAAACACACATATTTCTGGGCCCATCCATAGTAATTTGATTCAATAGCTCTAGGGCAAGTCTCAGGAAACTGCATAAAAACTCTAGAAGTTCCTATTATCTCAGTCTGATTGAAGAAATGTGTTTTGGGTTTTCATGCTCCAGTTGTCCTCCGAGGTATCGTTAGGCCTCGTGGGTTCTGCTCTCCACTTAGAGCTGGGCAGGGGATCTATCACAAGGATGAACCTGGAAAACTTTGGCTTTTCAGTCTAATACCAGGTCTGTCACTTGCTAAGCTGTGGGACCAAGCACAGCTTGGCTGATTTTCGTTTTCCTCATCTTTAACTGGAGAGAATAATAGTATTCAAAATATTCCATTATTACTAAATAAAGGATGGCAGTTAAGAGGTGGGTTGCAATGGTCCTAGAATGAGAGAATAAGGATCTGAAAGAGGAGCAAAGAAAAGATGGATCTAAGAACCATTAGGAAAAAAGCATTGAAAGGTACACGCTTCACTTTTATTGAATGCAGACTGTGGCAGGAACCAGGAGAACCATGTACCTTGTACTATCCCCTTAATCCTTTGCCAACTCTGAGACAGGTACTATGCCCATTTTCACACGAAGAACCTGATATACAGGGAGAATGGAGTTATCGTTTATCGACATTGGAAAGGCTTGTGAAAGAGCAGGTTTGGGTGGAGAGCAGAAGCTCCATTGTGTGCATGCTAACTAAGTTTGAGATGTCTGTTCGACATTGAGCAGAGACAGCAAAGAAGACAGTTCTTGTGTGACTGTGGGGTTTATGGGAAAGGTCTAGACTAGAAAGACAAATTTGGAAGTCATCAGCCCATAGGTGTTAGCAAACCTGATGGGTAGAAATGAACTGAAAGGACCAGATGAAAAGAGAAGAGAGTTCCAGATCCGAGCTCTGGATCTAGTGTTACACCATCAGGAAGTTCAGAAGCGACTGGCAAAAAGAGACACAGAAGATGGTGAGTGAGGAAGGAGTGAATCCAGGATAGGCAGTACCTCACTGTTCATCCACTTTAATTCTAAAAACACTGATTGCCAAAATGATAATACCCAGGCAGTGTAATCTTAGCCAAGTGAAGACAGGATATCTGTTTCATAGGCATTTGCAGGAAGAATGAATGACGTGTCTCAGCAGAACTCAAACACAGATGTCCCTTACCCAAGAGCCTACATATTCTCCACTACTCTAGGAATTGGTTGTTTTTTAAATGGCCAGATAGTAAGTATTTTAGATTAAGTGAGTCAACTGGCAAAATCATGGCTATTATGTAGGTGCTTCTTATAATCCATGAACATGAAGCCACTCAAAACGTAAAGCCACTCTTAGCTCAAGGGCCATAAAACAAACAATAGCAACCACAGCCGACTTCTGGCTCATGCTGCTGTCCGCACCTCACTGTTTATCTACTTTAATTCTAGAAACATCGATTACCAGAATGATGATGCTCAGGCAGAGTCATGTTCGCCAGCTATCCCGGGTTCACACAAAACGTCACAGTAACCCAAACGAACTCATTTCACCAATGCAATAGCTTAACGTCTTTTATTTTTTCATATAAAGGGGGCCTATCATCAAATCCAGCAACTTCATTTTTCCCAAGACACTATTTCTTGTTCCATTTTTTGCTTAGCTACATAGTCGGTGAAGAAATGGAGCGAGAAAGCCAGCACAACATTTGCATGAGTGTGTTCGTCATCGACTGTGACCTCTAAAGTGGGTTTCTTCCCTGGCAGTGTGACAATGAAAGGGTATTTCCCTCTCCTCTTGTTTTCTCTATGCCTGTCAAAAGAGAACCCGCTGAAACCTCAAGAAAGGCCAGATATTTTCCCCGAGGTCACAGCAAGGGGTGTCATTATGATTCATTACTCCAGCCCATGAACTGAACCCACAGCAGCACTGTTTTCAGGAAGGTGAAGTTCATACTTGGTAATATCGACTTCTATTTCTCTTAACTTTCTACCAAATTACAGTTCAGTGAACTGGAGTCATATTTGACATTTGCACCTTCTTTGGCAGTTCCCTTAGCCCTCCCCAAATCCCGCCAACCTTCAGACTGAGGAATCCATTCACAGAGGAAGCTTGCTGGATCTCCGGGCCACTTTCGGTTCCTCAATGCTACTCCCTCTTAAACTGTTTTACAAGGACACATAGATTCATTAGGAAAATAGCAACAGCACACACCTCTTCACTTCCCATGACACATGTATTTGCAGACGTTTCCAATTGATCATGACATGATTGTTGCTAGAAATTCGGCCTAAGGCCAACACGCTTTCTTGGAATTGTTCCTATTGAGAAAAACATTTAATTATAAAATCCAGTGGTCTTCATTGAGTGGTCTCTGTATGCAAAAGGTGATCAAAGGCACTAAATTCCTGGACTCAGGCAACAGTCCAGACCCATCCGTTTCAGTCTTGGGTCTTTCTACAGCTAAACTTCATCCTTAGGCTTAAATTGCGGATGAGTGCCTTTTCTCCCTCACCTCTCCTGAGGTTGGCTGGTGGATAAGGTCTGGGTATGCTGGATACCGTACAAAGTTTCCTCAATGATTAACCGAATGTCTTCCACAAAGCACATCTTTTCTTCTTTCCCTGATTTGGAATGTTTCTTTAGCCTAGACTCCTCACTGCCAATTCAAGGAGATTTTCTATTTATCTTGAAGGCTTTATGCCTTCGATAATATGCACTGTAGACAATGAGATCTTACATTTATGGTATTTCTTTCTCAGGATTCAGGACAATGTCCAATACAGGTAGATAATCTGAGAATGTGTGTTAAGTCACACTGAGAAGATTAAATGTGATAATTAATAGCTTTTTGGTGTTGTCTGGTTGACATATTTGAAAGGAACAGAAAAAGGGTGAAAGGCCAATATTAAGGACTGGATAATAGGCTAAGATCCCTGTGGGCAGGGGACCCACGTGTGCTGACCCAGTGGATGATGTCCATGGAGCTGGTGCAGGGCTGTTGAAGTGAACCAGAAAGAGGTGTGTCTGAAAAACACAGCAGAGAAAGAAATGTCACACAGGGAGCTGAACAGAAAGGAAGAAGATCACACAAGGAGACAAATCAAACTGCAGGTTACTGAGAGAGGGAGGGAGCCATCTGAGAGTCTGAAGAATTAGTCTTCAGGCTTGCTTCCGTCTCTTCTGTGATCTTGGTCAATGACTTAATCCTCCTGGCCTCAGCTTCCCCATCTACAGAACAGACACAACAACTCTGCACATAGTCCTTGTAAGAATTATTATTAGTCTTTCTTTCACTCATTAACAACTCTCTTTGGTGCACAACTCCAGGGCTGGCAAATGGGGAAATTCCTAGCAAGCTTCCAGCAAGGTCAATTTGCTAGGAGGGGAGAGAATCCACTTCTAAGACTTTTGAAATCACACAGTGTTTGTACGGCTTGTCTGATGGGACCTGAGGGCTGTAACACGCACAAAAGAGCATTGTCTTCTCAGAATCTGCTTGCAGTCTTTGCACAGACTCATATGTCACTTTAAAGGGTTAACAGGAAACTAGATGTCATCTTGTCAGCCTCTTTGATCGCTTCCAGCTGGGAGTCATCGAGCTCTGCTCTGAAGACCCCCAGACCCCCCTGTGTACTTTTCTGGCAGCAAAGATACTGGCTTATCTACTCTGTTCCCTTCCCTGAAGGTAAGCAACTCAGAGGCAGGTGCCACAGCTGGGTCACCAGCTTTGGCAGAGCTCTGCCAACCTGTCTTGCATTGGTACAGGTTCACTATAAGCCTGTTGAGTAGCTGGGGGATGAAAAGACTGAAGGAGCCATAGATGCGCCACGGAATCCTGAGGCCCACACCCATGGTGACCAATCAACACCCTCCTACCCACTGAATGGACAAAAAGGTGCCCCTGAAATCTTGTTCTTACGGATTCTCCAGGGCCTAGCACAGAGCTGGGCACTCAGGATACTTTTTTTAATGTAATTTTTAAAAAATTTATATATGACAGCAGAATGCATTACAATTCTTATTACATATATAGAGACACTTTTTCATATCTCTGGTTGTATACATAGTATATTCACACCAATTTGTGTCTTCATACTTGTACTTTGGATAGTAATGATCATCACATTCCACCATCATTAATAACCCCATGCCCCCTCCCTTCCCCTCCAACCCCTCTGCCCTGTCTAGAGTTCGTCTATTCCTCCCATGCTCCCGCTCCCTATCCCACTATGAATCAGCCTCCTTATATCAGAGAAAACATTTGGCATTTGGTTTTTTGGGATTGGCTAGGAGACTTTTTAAGAACTGGTTAATGACTGACTTACTCATTGCATTTCTCAACTATAAGAAACCCATTACCCTAGAAAGAGCATCAGCAAGGTTGTCTCACTTCATGCATTCATTCTTCAAAGCGAATAGCACTGCGTTTGGGACAGTGTCACGCACTTTCCCTGAGCCTCCAGTCTGTGATTTATAGTGCAGATTGGCAAACCACAGCCCAAGGATCAAATCCAGTCCATAGCCATCTGCTTTTGCAAGCAAAATTAACCTGAAGAAGTTCTAGGGGATTCTTCAGCAGTCTCATAGCACATCCCTATTTCAGTCTTGCCTCACGTGAGTCGTCCAAAATGCAGGTGTCTGGGTCCTCACCGCCCAGCTGACCTCTGGTACTCCTGACTCCCTTCATTCTGACGCAATGGCCTCAAATCTCTGCCCACACTACCCCAGCCTCCTACTCTCCATCTCATGTCCCTTGTCCCGGTCACCTCTGTGACTTTGTCAATTCTTCTCTTCCAGGAATCTACTCTCTCCTGTTTCCTTTCAACTGACCCAGGTATGGTTCAGCTCTGGTGTCCCTCCACTGTGCCCCCATCACGTGCCACACATTTACCAATGCCAGGCAAGCATGGTGGCAGGGGCTGGCCTTCTCCCAGGGCACTCACCTGTGCCATCTCACCACTGAACACTTGCCTTTCTGGCTTCTCTTTACTACCCATCCTGACCCGTTGAGTCTCATCTGAAGTGTCACTTCCTGTGGCAGTCAGTTCTCAAACCCCTAACTTTTACTCTGAGCCCTCGCCCTCTGCCTTCACAGGCCTTTCCCAAGGCACTTACGCTGTGCAGGTTAGGTGACATGATTATTTACTAACATGAGCAAACAGCTCCATAAGGGCAAGAAATGCATTGGTCCTGTAGAACAAGGAAGTATCAATGGGACAGGGCCCAAGAGATAAGTGTCTGGTGAATGAAAAGATTGGACTCCACTCCTTCCTTCAATTTTAAGTAACCAGGTTGAGGGTGGGTCCGTTATCAAAAAACACTAAGACAGAAACCAACCTCCCCATCCAGGAGATGGGTGTGTGGTAGTAGGCTTTGCTCTGCAAATGGGATTTTATCCTAAGAAAAATGGAAGAATCCAGGAAGACAAGGTTTTCTTGGTGAGAATATTAGTGTGTCTAATGAAAAGAACCTCATTGCTCTCTACATCCCTCAAGCAGCAAAAAGAACCCAAGATGTGTATTGAGATGCGGTCTCAGTCCAGTCAAGCTCTGGAAGCAGGCTGTAGCCAGCAGACAAAATGAGGCTAAAAGACAGAGCCGGTCCCACAGATAATGGCCCTATATTTAGAAGTTTTGTTCCAAATATAATCAGATTCCAAGGGCCTATAGGAGTTTATTTCTTTATGAAAATGAGGACCCAGCACCTTCAGAAATAAGCGCTTTCAGAGCAGTGGCCTCTGTACACTGGTGCACGTTACTCTGAAGAATAACAACAAGGCTTCTTTGACCCAGGAAAGTCACGGCCTGAAACATTTATTTTTGAAGCAGCATTTATTTTCTGCTGGTTTAGAACATGCTTCCCTGAGGAATAACCTTCTGGCCGCCCCAGAAATGCTGATCTGGGGATTGTGTAATGTCAGCCCTTCCCGCACCCTGTCTGCTGTCATTCCTCACTGCAGGAGGCAGCCAGCCCACCCCTTCCCGTCCCCTGTCTTGCTCTTTCCTGGGGATTGAAAATTACTCCTGCAAAGAGTGGAATGAAATATACATAGGACACATTCCCAAATAGATGGGCCTATTTCTGAAGCAGAGCACGGAGGAATCTGAATAAAGAGATTGAGAAGGAAAAATTCATATATATATATATATATATATATATATATAAATACTTATATATTCCGCCCAGCCCCCACTCCAAACCCCTTCCTGCCCAAGTTTATGTTTGCTGTGGCCTCTTTCAGTCAGCCTGACTTCCTGGGCTGCTTTGAGAAACAGGAGAGGGGAGCTTAACAAATGTTTCCGTGTTTGCTTTTTAAGCAAGCACAGGTAAGAAGGCGCCCTGTTCACAAGAGTCCCAGTAAAAAATAGCAGGTGGCGGCTGGCGGAAAGAAATGAAACCCTAGAACATTTCGGTCCTCATGACCCTGTTATCGACCCTTCTGATCAGAACGTGACTCCTGATTGATTTTGAGGAAAGTTCTAAGACCTCAGGCTATTTGCCTCCTTCCCTTTTCTCACAGAGTTTGCTCATGTGTATCTGGTCTTAGGGCTTCTGATTGACACCCACTCCCAGTTCCTCTTTCCCAGGTGAACTTCAAGAGCTTGTGAACGATACATCCCTCTGATGAGATGAGTAAGTAGTTGCCATCTACCCACGAACCTGAGCTGAGGGACTTACCCATGTTAGGCCCAGGGAGGAGGGGACTCAAAGAGAGGGGCGTGGAGGTTCCTTCCTCTTGAATACATTTACTGGTATATTCCAAGCAGCTCAGGCAAGCCAGGAGATGTGGGTCCAAGATTCTGCGAGTTGCCCTTACGTCTTCACCTCTCTCTGACTTAGTAGTTCTGTCCGTTAAATGGAATAAGCACCTCTCACCCGTTGTTTTACAGGGCTAATGTTTTAGAGGGAGGCATTTGCGCAAACTCTGCTTCTCTCCCCCGCTAAGATGAGACATCAGAAGTGTAGCACATCAGGTTCTCTTCTCAACCCTTGCTGCGCTTTAGAATTGAGTGGAGCCCTGGAGACAATGACACTCTGACTTTATCTTCCTGGTTGAGAATAGGACCTGTTATGGGCCTTTTTTTTTTTTTTTAATGCTCGCTGAGTGATTTTGTTGTGCAGTCAGCTTTGGGAACTGCTAATAAACAAAAGAGTTGTGGATGTTGAAAGAAAGGAGAACTTGTGAATTAGGGTGGGTAGGCAGGAACGGCTTGGAGGAAAAGAGGAATTTGAGCAGCAGAAGAAGCCATACGGAGGGGAAGTGACAGAGGGGACGGGGAGGGGGGGGTGAAAGTGAAGGTGGGGGGCGTGGGGTGATGTCTGTGGGGATGAGGTCTGGAGTGGAAGGTGGTGCATCAGTTCATCATGAAGAGGCTGTGTGGGCTGGGAGGCCTGCACCTCTTCAGGAAGCCTGGGGACCCTAGTGTCTGTCCTCATGGCCACATGCCTCCTTGTGCCTCCTTGTGTCTCAGAAATGCTGCATTGTTGTATGACTGCTTGGGTGGTATCTGTCTCCCACAAAGGACCAGGACTTCCTTGAGGGTTCTTGGAGAGTTTGCTTCTTGCACCTCTGGATCCTTAGCACCTTAACCAAGGGCCTGATGTTGTCTCAATGAATGGAATTGGGCATTTGGAAAGGGCATATTTTAGGTTTGACTCTGGCACTAATTTATTAGAATGTTCAAGAACTGCCTTCCCCCCAGTTTTGTCTCTTTGGATTTCAAAGTCCTTCCATTAGGAGGTTTGAAGGTCCTAGGCCTTCAAGTATTTGAATACCATTGTGTCTGGAGAGAGGATTAAGTTTAGCAAGGTGCCAGGTTCAAATAAGAGGACATTTGTTTAGTTCAATGCTGCTCACATTTTAATATGCATACTAAGTTACCTGGGAATCCTGTTAAAATGCAAATTCTGGTCCAGTAGGTCTAGAATGGGCCTGGGATGTTAAGAGGAAGCTCCTAGATGATGTCAGCAAGGCTGATTAGGGGATCTTACTTCATAGTCCCAGCGAGCCTAGTGCCGAGCTGCCACGCACCTCACTTGGAGTGGCAGGGGGTCAGGCTCTGTCTATATGACGCCAGACCAACCTGTGGAAAATTTCTCACCCAGATCTTGAAATAATGCTTTTTTTTTTTTCATTCTTGATAGGGATATTTTGTTGGTTAGAAATACAGGATTTCCGTCAAATAAGTCCAGCTCAAATCCTGTCTTTGTCATTTCCTAATCATGTGATTTTTAGGCAAGATACCTCCAACTCTTAGCCTCATTGTCTTAATCTAACAAATGGATATGAAACCAATCTCAAGAAAGGGACTCTGGGAGGTGAAGCCGGATGGGACACTGTGGTGATGCAGTTAGCCGGCCCCACCTGCTCTTACCTGTGGGTTCTCTTCTCACTGACTCAGCAACACAGGAAGTAAAGAGGTTTCAGAATCTGTAGGTTTCTTTTTCTCTTCACATCAAATAGGAAAGTTAGGCTTTGTAGGCAATGCCATACCTTTCACTTCCTTTCTTTAGGGAGCATGAAACCCACAGGTGTGACTCGGACAGGATCAGTGGGAAGGAAAGAGTGAAAGTGAGAAATTCTCAGGGGGAGCTGACTCACAGCTCCTCAGGGAGAACTCAGGGCAGCCTGGTGGGGCAGAGTCAGTGGGCAGCCTGGGGGAGACATAAGCAAGAGAGAGAGAAAGAGAGGACAGTCCCAGGCCTCTCCTACTACTTACCACCCACCATACAAACTTCCCCTTCCACACTCCATCTTTGGTATTGAACCCTGTTTCCTTCTGGACTAACTTGGACACAATCTATTTATGTAATTGGGGTAAAGGGATCAGGGCCACTTTGAATTGTGGCCTTCTGTGGGTCACATAAGAGCACAGGCATTGTTGTCTGGCATTGTCTTTACCATAGTCCCTCTTAGTAATCATCTCTCTGGCTCCTAAATATCAGGCTCCACAGGTAAGTCCTGGGGTGATTGTCTTTCCATCCCACTAGGTGTAATCAACCTTTATCCAACTTCCACTGTCCCCTCTGCACTTGTCTTTCAATTTCTGGGCATTAATTAGCCTCCAGCTGACCCTGGACTGTTCAAATGACATCTTTGGGGGACCTTAATCAGCTCCTCGCTCAGGGTGTGCATGGTCCCTGTTTTGTTTTCTTTTAGTTTACATTTGCTACTCATAACCAGGAGTTAGGAAAACAATTTGATTATGAATGTAATCCTGTGACCATCTGCTTGATTTATTATTCCCAGAAGGAATTTGCATTTTAGAAAAGGAGCTTCTTAAAGTAAATGGGTCTTTAATTTTGTGGGTTACTACAACTGCTCATTATGTACACTGAGGGAATTAAAAAAACATGCAAATGCACAGGCCTAAGAGTTTCGAATTTTGATGTCCTTCATTTGGCATTGAGCATCTGTAGTTTTGAAAACTTTCCAGGTGACTCTGATACCCAATCAGAGTTGTAAACTCCTGATGTTGGTGACTTATATGTAGGATATTAGGACAATATGATTTCTTTGTTTATTCTTGACTCAAATAGCTATCAATTATTCATTGATTTGCAATCAAACACCATAAGATATTGAATTTCATTTAAAAATGCTTTAAAAAATCTAATTGATTAAATAACCTTCAATTCTGTGGGTTGCCTGGGTTCCGCAGGTTGGCTCTTCTGCTCCAAGGAATATCTACTAGTTCACTGGACAGTTTTCTGGACTGGGATGGAAGATCCAAATGCTTTCCTCACATGTGTAGGGCCTTTTTCTCTTCCAGGTGTTTCTCATATAGCTAGTTTTTGTTTTCTAATGGCATGGTAGCCTCAGGATAATCAATTTTTTTTATATGATGTCTGGCTTTGAGACTAGCAAAGGTTGCCAGACCTCTTAAAGTCTAAGCCTGGAACTGGCTAGCATCTCTTCTGTTATATTTTACCAATCAGAATGAGTTAAGTGGACACCAGAGGTTTAATAAGAGGAGAGGTTTTGGTAGGCAGAGCATCCTTTGTGTATGGGAAAGGAAGGAATTGATGGTGTCACCTTTGATGGCTATCTATTGACCACAACATCTTTTCATCAGTTTGCAAGAGAATAGGAATTTGTAGCATCACCTGTACCTGATGACTCTCAATTCTTACACTAAAAAGAAAAAGAACCAAAATGTCCATTTGGACTACATGAGCATTTGAGATCAACAAAAAATTATCTTAAAGATATGTGAGGGCTTACAGGACCTCTCCCTCTCTAATACAGTTGTAGACATGGCTCAAGTGATTTGCTCTAACTAGAGGAAACCCAGGTGGTTTTTTCACATACGTGCTGTACTTCCTTAAAACAGGGAGCCTTCTGGGAAAAGAGTTCAATGAAAGGTCAAATGAGAGGACAATGGTTTTGAGCCTAGTGGAAATGGCTGAGACTCCTAGAACTGCCAGAGGTTAGACCCCTGGTAGACTCATTCTCTGAGCCTCAGTTTTGTCTTCAGAAAAGTGTGCATGGTATCTTCTCTCCTAGCTTTCTTGCAAACACTAGGTAATGTTATATGCAGAACTGCCTGAACTGTTTAGCACATGTCGCACCTATTACTAAGCAACATTTTCTTAAACGTCCTACTTTGTAGAGGCATTTAAACTCACAGGGACAAGAAAACAGTTTGTCAAATACTTTTGAGAGAAGGGGCGGGGGAGAAAGCGCAAGCAGCTGAGTGTGTACTCAAAGAGCAAGTCTGTGAAATTTAAAATGTGGAGGCTAATGTGTTGAGTGAGTCATCCGAAAGAATTTCTCTGATATTGATAAGCATTGCTTGTGGTTTTAATTCTTTTGCCAGAACAGTGATTCCACCTCCCTTAGAAAGGGCATAGCTGCTGGCAATTTTAGGGAGGGAGCTTGAGGAAGCCTAAGCCAGTGGTCTGTACAAGTAGAATCTGAAGCAACCAACAGAGGGAAGAAAGAAGGATGAATTACAAAAGATGGGCAGGGTGCCTGGAACTTCATGCTGTGTCATCTCCTTTGTGGTCAAAAGGAAATCCAAGAGTCCATAGCTCCCCCTGACACATCAGTGCAACTTTGGCCTATTGGAGCAAAACTACAGAGAACAATGACTACATTAGTTCTCAAGACACCATTTGATGGCATTTAGAACACTAGTTTTCCATGCCTTTGTCTAGCACTGGGCTTGTCTTAGGCCATTTTGTGCTGCCATATCAGAATTCTCAAGACTGGGCAGTTTATTTTTTATAGTTCTAGAGGCTGGGTAGTTCAATGTCCAGGGCTGGGTCAGTGCTTTCTTGCTGCATCATCCCGTGGCAAAAGGCAGAAAATCCCAAGAGAGCATACCAGTGTGTGAGAGGAGAAGGGCTGAATGCATCCTTTTAACAGAAACCCACTCTCCCAAGAGCTAACCTGCTCCTACAATAGGGCATCAATCCACTCACGAGGGCAGATTTTCATGACCTGACCACCTTGTAAAACACATCTCCACTCTTTTGCATGGGGATTAATTTGCTGGCACATAAACTTTGGGGCCACTTTCAAACCACAGCAGAGCTCATATGGTCTTTCCTTTCTAGCAGAGCTTCTTTCAAACCCAAAGAGCAAAACAAAATAGCAAAGAAGAATCCCACTGATTCCAGCCCCTAAATAGCAACTAGAAGCCCTTTTCCCATTGCCAGTATTTTGGAAATTTTGATTGTTACCCTCATTTTGTCACTGATGGTGCTATGTTGGATTTTGTTCTTGAGACGAAGCGATGGCTATCGGAGAGGGCAGGAAGGGGGAGAACTGAAGTGGGCTACTGTCTACAGCGCAGAGGCCACCATGTGGGTTTGCACTGTGCTTCTCTCACTGTATGTTGTGCAACGCAGGCAGCACCCTCCTATGTTATGGAAACGTCAACTGAGGCTTAGTGAGTCAGTCCATCAGCTAAGTAAGAATTCAAAGTTCAAAGCCTGCCGTCAGAGCCATCGGATGTAACAGCAGCGTGAACACTTCCAGAAGAGGATGTGCCATGAATTTTTTCACCTTAAACAGAAAAAA